CTACCCTCTGCCTGATTGCCTAAAGCTCTTGCACTGATCCTGCTGCCATTCTACTGCCAGATTATCTACAGCCCTGACTCAGCGTTCAAGACACCTTTATTTCCAGCTATTCTCATGCCCTTTTGTAATGAAACTTGGACTGATCCAGACCCTGCCTAAGCTGCTGCCCTTTGGACTTAGTAAGTTTGTTGCTCTGGGGTGTAGGATCCTTTTTGTTTTAGCACTGCTGCCTTGCAGCAAGAAGGTTTCAGGTTCGATTCCCGGCCTGGGTTCTCTCCGGGTACTCCTGCTTCCTCCCACAGTCCAAAAACATGACCGTTAGGTTAATTGGCAGTGTTGGGGTCAAGACCACCTAACCCGAGACCAAGACAAGACCAAGACCAGAGTGTATCGAGACCGAGACAAGACCAAGACTTTTAGGGTCCGAGACCAAGTCAAGACCAAGACCGAGGGAAGTCGAGACCGAGTCAAGACCAAGACCAGCGCCAGTATGTGACAATAAAATGTGAAACATGATCAAAATCACAAAAATATATCTAAAAGACCCACATTCACATAAAAACACCTTGATATTTAACCCACAGAACTGGACTAAACATTAACATCTTTATTTAGTAGTATTTAGTAGTAATCACAGAATTTCAAACAATTAATCAAAGTCGATCAAAATAGTATTTTCTCTGCCGTTCATGAACAGTACATACATTTATGTTGTTTTTAAATGTGCTATTTCAAAAAATTCTGTAAAATGTGTAAAACTGAAGAAAAGCCAATCATTTCTCTTGTTTCTCTGTCATATACAGATTAAAGCTATATTATATAACTTTTCTTAAATAAATCTATATCTGTCACCAAGTTATGAAATATGTTATGAGACAGATAATTTGTTGAAAAAATAGATTGATCTCCTTCACTGCATTTACCAATGAGACTATGAGGTTATTGCTTGGATTTGAATCCAAGCATCCAATAAACAGAAGGAACTTAAAGAAACTGATAATATTCTGATTATTAGTGTTATTTCCACAGTTGTGGTCTTGACTGGACTTGAAATAAAATGCCGAGTCCTCAGCGCCCGAGACCGAGACAAGACCGAGACCAAATGCGGTCAAGTCCGAGACGAGACCGCATTTGGCTCGAGACCAAGACCAATCTCGAGTACTACAACACTGTTAATTGGCTTCTCTAAATCCTCCTCAAGTGTGAGTGAATGGTTGTTTGTCCTGTGTGTCTCTGTGCTGCCCTGCGATGAACTGGAGACCTGTCCAGGGTGGACCCCGCCTCTCTGTCCAGGATGGACCCCGCCTCTCACCCGTAGACAGTTGGAGATAGGCACCAGCACTCCTCCCCACCCCAGCTGGGATAAGGCGTGAAGGAAAATGGATGGAATGGATTTTTGTTTTGTTTAAGAAAAATGGTTAACTGCTTCTTTGGGTTGTGTCTCCTTGTGTCCATTCTGTTTTGGTACTAAACATTACAAGTGTCCTAAATGACAAAAAATGTTTTTAATCATAAATGTGCCTTTTTCGAAATGCCAAGAGCATTGGCTGGTGCAAATAGTTTGTTAGATTTATTAAAAATTATGACTCTTCAGAAGGTTTGATGTAAATTCTAAAGCATTTTCATCCAGTTTAACTGAGAAGTTACTTAAACAAAATGTTCCAGCTGGAAAATCCTGATTGCAAAGAAAAAAAAAAAATGTCTGTCTTAAACGCAGCAGGTAAACATGACTGGCAGGCTATATGGAGATGCTGCAGCAGGTATCCCTAATCATTGGGTGATTACTTGCTTTCCTGTTTTCAGTGCTGTCTGTGTGCATGCTCATGTTTTGATGTCAAAATGAATCAGGACCACTTCTCCACTTTCAACATTAAATTGAGGACTGTTTATACCAAAATGATTTAGTGGGTCCTTATTTCCTGTTTGCAAATGATAAGGTTTTAGGACTAAGGTGTGAATTAAGTTTAGGCTTAAGTTTGTGTGCAATGGTAATGGTTTAGTTTAGGGTCCTTTTCAAAGTTCAAGCATAGACATTGTCAAGTTTTCTCAGATTCTCCAGCTCTTGCCCAAACTTGACAAGATCTAGCCACAATTAATTCAGCTTATTTATATAGCGGCAATTCACAACACATGTCATCTCAAGGCAGGTTCCAGTTCACCAGATCATCCAGTCAGATTGATTCAAAGTTTTCTATCTAAGGAAAACCAGCTGATTGCATCGACTCATTGACTCTTCAGCAATCCCTCACACTAAGCATGCTTGTAGCGACAGTGGAGAGGAAAAACTCCCTTTGAACAGGAAAAAACCTCCAGCAGAACCAGGCTCAGTGTGAGCGGCCATCTGCTGAGGCCCACTGGGGTTCAAGGAGACAGAAGCAGACATAGACACTCCAGCCCTTGATTCTCAATTCTATTTTTTTTTTAAATACGATTTCTTTTTGCCTTGCTGTTCACATTTCCAAATATATGTGACTTGTTTGTGATCTCCCGTTTGAACTGCATTCCTACAACCTAAGTGTCCCGCAAGCGCAGTAGAGGACGCAATACCGTCACAAGCAAGCGTGCTCTGTGTTTATGGAAGTAAACATGGATGGTAGCGCTGGAGCGTATCTAACGATCTTTCCCAACCTTAAAAATTCAATCCTTCCAAGATGGTTAAACATAAATAATACTCTCCTCATCATTGTCCACCATTGTTGTTGTTTTTCTTGCCGCTTCTGCGTAGTAGGAAGCGGAAGAGTGACCACTGTCGGGTATTAATGACGTTCAGGTCAGATGAAAGCGACCTGGCTGTTCAGACACAGGTCTCATTTGAAAAGATCAGATTTGGATCGGATTCAGGACCACAGAGCCAAGTGCCCTGGGTTGCATTGGAAAAAATCAGATCTGTGTCGTTCAGACTGCCATGAAAAGATCAGATCCAGGTCACATTTGGACAAAAAAATGGGATTTTGGTCACTTCAGGCTGCGGTGTGAACGTAGCCATAGAAACCATCTAGGAAATACACACAGCCAGGCAGATGAGCTCCGAGCCAGCTCCCATGTCAGAGGATGAAGAGAGCACATCCAGTTAGTCACAGTCAGAGAAACAGGACTACACTGAAAAACAGGCCAAGCTCCAACATCTAGAAACAAAGGTGTTGATGGCAGCAGCACAGCTGATATTTCTCTCCAGGATGGAGTCACAGCCAAACAGGAACAGACGAGGCGAATCTACAATCAAAAGGATGCTGAGACAACTCAACTCCGTTTGGTCTCTTTATTTGTCTTTTCCCTTGCTTCGGACACATCTCACAAACACGTGAGTAAGTTGATAACCTACAAAGAAAAAATGCACACCAGAAATTACAATGAAATATCTTGAATGTTTTACATTTCCAACCAGCTTTTAAAACTTAGCTGTAAATGACATCAATAAACAATAAATTGCATATTGCAAGCCCTGCATATCATGATGTCCATAATTTCAAATATTTAAGACATTCTGTCAAACACACATTTCCCTTGGTTTTACTGCACAAAATATGAATCATGTAATAAACATTTGAATAAACAAATCATTATCATCTCCTACCAGTGGTGTCTTTTGTTGTAGCTTAGAGTTGGAGTTGTTTGCTTGTTGTGCCATCTTTCTGTAAAGCTCAGGTGAGCAGGGTTATTTCTAAATTAGCAGTTTGGCTTGGGGAGGGAGAGCGCCTGATTTTATGTTAAGAGCGCTTCAGGCGGGTGGACATTAGAAACTGTCAACTTGCCCTTTCCTGGTTTAACTAACTGATCTCTATTTATTCACTGGATTGCTGATTGCTTGTTGCTAGTACTCGGTTGAAGTGAAGCCATATTGGTACTCCCTAGTTAGACCGGTCTCAATGTAAACAATCATCGCGCTACAGCATCAAACATCAATGATATTCTCATTTTCGGGGGGACTAAATAGACTAAATAGAGATTGGTTGTTTAACTTGACAGATATGTTAAAATGGCTGAAAATAAATGGATGTTAACATATGGCCTGCACTAACTAGGGCAAGATGTGAATGCATGTGTGTGTGTGGCAGTTTTCAATAAAAAAGCAGATTTCTAGTAAATAACAGTTGATAGTCTTCTAAATGTGACTAATACTCAGCCTCTTTGTTGTCTTCACTTCCTAAACGGCAACGAGCTGCATGAAAAGGCTGGTGACGCACCATGTGTCAAATGACATCAACAACTGAACTGTGAACTATGTGGACATTAGGTGGAAATTTCTTGGTATGACTCAGTGTTGTTTGTAGACTGTCTTAATTTGTTTAAGGATTTTTGTTGAAGATTTAAGAATCCAACCTTTCACAGGTGCAATTCCCTGTGATCTGCTGACAGTGGTTCTTGTTTAGAACAATAGGGCCATCAGTTTAGGTTCATTGTTTAATGTATTAACGTTACAAACATCAACTGCCTCTCAGGATTGTGTATGACGCTGTCCTTGGTCTACAAACTCATGTACCCCATCAGTACAACAACTATATCTTTTTTCTGGATAAAACTACAATGTTCACCAAGGTGCATAGATTACAGGGGCGGATTTAGGAAATGTGGGGCCCTAGGCAAAGACAGGCAGGGGCCCCTCTGAATTGAGAAGACAACACATAAAACAGACCCATTCTACAGATAGAGAAATGTTAATAGAATAGACATCCATTATCTGTTCTAGGTTGTGTCCCTCTCTTCTTGTCCCTTTTCTTCTTGTTTTCCTCTCTGTTTTGTACTCAGCTGACTTTTCATGCTGTCTCTAAAGGAATGAAACACACTTAATAAATTTGCTCAAAATTTCCCGACGTATGAGTGCGTATGCTCGTACGTGGGGCATAAGTTACACGTAAGTTATCTGATCGTTGACATACATTGTAACTGTTAGTCATAAGGTGAGTAACTTGATGCATTCTGAGCAGCGATGCGCCTGAGAGCAGCTATAACTGATGCTTCATAATGCATCAGTTGGTGAGCATTATGCTGCTGTGCATTAT